TTTAAAAATTTGAATTTCAAACGCTCATAAAAATTTAATTTGACGTTCTTATAGAATTTTTTTTTTTGATAAATGTAGGAAATCTTATAACGAATCTTGTATTACATTTTCATATCTTAGATTTAAAAAGAAAAATTTTTATGAATTTCTAACTAGAAATAATTTGCAAATTTTCGTGATTTTTCCATATTATGTCATTTTTTGAACTTTAAATGCTTAAAAAAAAAAACTGTGACTAACAATTTTTAATATTTTTCATCTGTCTTTGAAACAATATAGTAGGAGATTGTATTAAATTTTCAAGTATTTTTACTCAACAAATAAATTTTTATTGATATTCATAAAAAAAAAAAACTAATAAAATTGGAAACTGAAAATGTCCCTAAACAGTTCAAAATAAATCAAAATATTTTGAAAATGTTATCGTGTATAGAAAATGCAAATATAAACAACCACTGAAAATTTCATGTATCTACGGTAATTTGTTTTACAGTTATTCGTTTTGAATTACAACAAAATAACAAAATCGCTACATTAGAAATCGAGTGAATATATCTTGTAAAAATATAAGCTTCATTCACTCATAAAAATTTAATTTGATTTGCTTACACATTTTTTTGTTGATACAGATCGACAATCCTATGAGGAATCTTTATTACATTTTCTAATCTTAGATTTCAATAGAAAAATTTTTATGATTTCTCAACACAAAATAATTTGCACAATATCTTGAATTTTACAAAATTTGTCAATATTTGAACTTGAAATGCTTATAAAAAAAATTGTGGCTATGGATTTTTAAGTTTTTTTATCTGTCTTTGAAACAATATACTAGGAGCCTACTATTAAATTTTCAAGCTTTTTAACCAACAAATAAAATGTTATTGATATTTATAGAAAAAAAACAAAAAAAAAGGTGGGAAAGTGGGTGTCGCTCTGCTGTACAGTAGGTTACAAGTGGGTCACTGTATAATGGATGGTATTAAATTTGAATTCAATGATATAATATCATTGTATAAGAAAAACGATTCTGAGCGGTGACGGTATGTCAGTCTATGTATCAGACATATTATATACATATTTATGGTATTAAACAAAAAATTGACCTATAATAGGTACCTATAATAAATTCCAAATTAATCATATCACAATATCCATTAGATACTTATAACGCGTTATACATCAACAAAAACCGTGATACTATCATAGATATATAATAGTACACTTTAGAAGTTTCAAGTACCCACGAATAATATTATTCAATCACAACAAAATAACTAAAATAGTTATTCTAGGTTTTTTAATATGTAATTTCGTCCAAATTTGAATTTAAAATGTCTGTAAAAAATAAGTGTGTTCATATATTTTTTAGATTTTTTGGTTATAGTATGAACTGTTTATGAGAACCTTTGTGTTGAATTTGTAATCCTTAGCTATAAAAACTGAACATTTTATAATTTATTAATTACAATGATTGATAATTTTCGAGATTTTGATAAATTTTGTCAAAATTTGATCCTTAAATGGTTATAAAAAAAAACTGTGCCTATGTATTTTTAATATTTTTCAACTGCTATTGTAACAATATTTCAGGAGTCTTGTATTAAATTTTTACACTTTTTGGCCCAACAGATAAAACTTTATTGATATTTATAGAAAAAAAAACTAAAAAAAATTGAAAGCTGTAAATGTCCATAAACAGCTCAAAAAGAGCCAAAATATTTTCAAAATTGTATGGTGTATAGAAAATGCTAATTTAAACATTCAGCAAAATTTTCATGTATCTACAGTTGTTCGTTTTTGAATTGCAACAAAATAAGGAAATCGCTACATGAGTAATCGAGTGAAAATCCAATGTTGTAAAAATTTGAATTTCAAACGCTCATAAAAATTTAATTTGACTGTCCGGTAGAGATTTTTTTATTGAACAAAGGTAGATAATCTTATAAGGAATCTTGTGTTTCATTTTCAAATCTTAGATTTAAAAAGAAAAATTTTTACGAATTCTTAACTCAAAATAATTTGCTAATTTTCGTGATTTTTCCATATTTTGTCAATTTTTGAACTTTAAATGCTTATAAAAAAAAATTGTGACTAAGGATTTTTAATATTTTTCATCTGCCTTTGAAACAACATATTAGGAGCCTTCTATTAAATTTTCAAGCTTTCGCAACCAATAAATAAAATGTTATTGATATTTTTAGAAAAAAAACTAAAAAAAAATGGAAAATGAAAATGTCCCTAAACAGTTCAAAATAAATCAAAATATTTTGAAAATGTTATCGTGTATAGAAAATGCAAATATAAACAACCAGTGAAAATTTCATGTATATACGTTCATTTGTTTTAGAGTTACACCAATAACCAAAATCGATTTTTTGGAAAACCAATTTTGCGTAAAAATTCCCGTTTTTCCTTAATTTTTATGTTGTTTTTCCTGGCGCTTGTGAAAACTACTGGGAAATTTATACTTTTGACCCCCCAAAGTACCAACTAGATTCACTTTCCTACCAGAAAAGCTACTGATGAAGAAAATCCAAGCACTTTTACTGTCCTAAAACGTGATGACAGACACAAAAATATAAAAATATAAATAAAAAGGTGGGCAAGTGGGTGTCGCTCTGCTGTACAGTAGGTTACAAGTGAGTCACTGTATAATGGATGAAATTAAATTTGAATTCAACGATATAATATCATTGTATAAGAAAAACGATTCTGAGCGGAGACAGTATGTCAGTCTAGGTATAAGACATATTATATGTATACATTATACATATCTATGGTACTAAACCAAAATTTGACCTATAATAGGTAGGTACCTATAATAAAATCCAAAATTAATCATATCAAAATATCCATTAGGTATTTATAACGCGTTATACATCAACAAAAACCGTGATACTATCATAGATATATAATAGTACACTTTAGTCTTTAGAAGTTTCAAGTATCCACGAATAATATTATTCAATCACAACAAAATAACTAAAATAGTTATTTTGGTTTTTTAATATGTAATTTCGTCCAAATTTGAATTTAAAATGTCTGTAAAAAATAACTGTGTTCATATATTTTTTAGATTTTTTGGTTACAGTATGAACTATTTACGAGAACCTTTGTGTTGAATTTGCAATCCTTAGCTATAAAAAATTAACATTTTATAATTTATTAATTACAATGATTGATAATTTTCGAGATTTTGATAAATTTTGTCGAAATTTGATCTTTAAAGGCTTATAAAAAAAAACTGTGCCTGTGTATTTTTAATATTTTTCAACTGATATTGTAACAATATATCAGGAGCCTTGTATTAAATTTTAACACTTTTTGGCCCAACAGATAAAACTTTATTGATATTTATAGAAAAAAAAACTAAAAAAAATTGAAAGCTGTAAATGTCCATAAACAGCTCAAAAAGAGTCAAAATATTTTCAAAATTGTATGGTGTATAGGAAATGCTAATATAAACATTTTGTGAAATTTTCATGTATCTACAGTTATTCGTTTTTGAATTACAACAAAATAAGGAAATCGCTACATGAGAAATCGAGTGAACATCCAATGTTGTAAAAATTTGAATTTCAAACGCTCATAAAAATTTAATTTGACATTCCGGTAGAGATTTTTTTATTGATAAAGGTAGACAAACTTATGAGTAATCTTGTATTACATTTTCAAATCTTAGATTTAAAAAGAAAAATTTTTACGAATTCTTAACTCAAAATAATTCGCTAATTTTCGTGATTTTTCCATATTTTTACAATTTTTGAACTTTAAATGCTTATAAAAAAAAATTGTGACTAAGGATTTTTAATATTTTTCATCTGCCTTTGAAACAATATATTAGGAGCCTTCTATTAAATTTTCAACCTTTCGCAACCAACAAATAAAATTTTATTGCTATTTCTAGAAAAAAAACTAAAAAAAAATGGAAAATGAAAATGTCCCTAAACAGTTCAAAATAAATCAAAATATTTTGAAAATGTTATCGTGTATAGAAAATGCAATTATAAACAACCAGTGAAAATTTCATGTATATACGTTCATTTGTTTTAGAGTTACACCAAAAACCAAAATCGATTTTTTGGAAAACCAATTTTGCGTAAAAATTCCCGTTTTTCCTTAATTTTTATGTTGTTTTTCCCGGCGCTTGTGAAAACTACTGGGAAATGTTTACTTTTGACCCCCCAAAGTACCAACTAGATTCACTTTCCTATCAGAAAAGGTACTATTGAAGAAAATCTAAGCACTTTTACTGTCCCAAAACGTGATGACAGACACAAAAAAAAATATAAAAATATAAAAATATAAAAATATAAAAATATAAAAACACACATCATTGTAAAACCAATACATTCATCGCTCCGCTCAGAATCTAAAATATAAATAAAAACATACATCATTGTAAAACCAATACATTCGTCGCTCCGCTCAGAATCTAAAATGGTAACTGAAAATGTCCGTATAAAGAGCTCAAAATAAGTCAAAATATTTGGAAAATGTTATAGTAAAATATACTAGCAGCGGCCCACCGGTAAATTTCCCGGTATCCCGGTTGTCAAGTAGTCAAGTCCGCCACTGATAGTAAGTACTAAGTAGGTAAAATGTTATTTTAATAATTATTTATAACGGTACAGAATACATTGGCAATATTATGTTATAAATTGTTATCATCGTTATCATAATACGTTCTGATACCGCACACATCCCTCTTCCGTCACCAACCCTGTGGTCAAATTGTTATCAATTACTGGCAACTGGCGTATGTTTGTCTTTCTTTTATTTTCCGTTCGTCTAATGTCTATTCTATTATTTGCAAGAATGTACCGTGTGTTTGGTGGCTAAACATTTTTACCATGAAACGAATTCACACGTCGATCGTTGATGTGATGTTCTACGCTTGACTTATTCGTTTGTTGTGTTCGATGTCGATCCCATGCCATTACCAATTTCAATTTAAGAATTTCGATTAGTGGTTTTGATCTACACTGTACACAACAATGGATTATCCGGTTCATAAAGGTAAACAATTTTACAAAATTCAACTAGTTTATTTCTTAAACATTCGTGTTGTGACTACTTGTTGGTCTTTCAACTATGAGAACAATATTGTTTCTCTAAAATATTGATTATAAGATTAATTAAGGTCATAAACTAGATACAATTTAGGTTAACCATATTCCAATTATGGTAGAAGTTATAATACATACTATTTACGTTCTATTGATTTTAAATATATATCTAAATAATAATAAAAAATAATTCCTCAAACTTTATACCTACTTATACTGTATTTTATAAAAATATTATTTTGAAGTTATTAATTAGGTATTCATTAAACTTAGTTACTTTTTGATATCTAAGGTTTTGTATCCATCTGTAATAATATAGGTTTAATTGATCACCTTGAATGGTTCTTATAAAAAGTATGAAACATATGAATACCTATCTAAAGTTAAATCCTAAAATAATATATAGGTAGGTAGATATATATTATATATGTATGTATACCTACATAATTTATCTACTAATTAATCATTTAAAAAAATAATAAGTTCTTAATTTTATCAATTATTTTAATTTGTATGTAAATAATACATTATTTTATAAGTACCTCATAATAAAGAATTTTAATTATATTTCAAAGTTAGAATATCAATTAATTTCAAATTATTTAATATTTGATCTTAGATCACATGAATTTTGTATGGATGAATGGAGACAATAATATGTTTATTCCCCATTCTGAAAATGAACATTCTACAGCTATAGATCCGGCGTTCTTTGATAACTCTATGCCACCGACGGAAACTATTCAACCTAGCATGGTTAGTATACATTTATAACTATTCAATTTACTGCAGCTACATTTTTTTTTAATTTATAAATATTTGACACATATTTAGTATTGAGTTAGGTAATTGATTGTAACTTAAATATGTTTGAAAATTTAAGAAAAAATACAATAACCCATACTTAGTAAAAACTTGTAACGTGTTAGTAAGTAGCGGATTGTAATAAATTATCATACATACTTTCTACTTATGTCAAATAGCTGAAATATATACCCAAATTATTTTATTTTATTTTAGTTTTCACTAAAAATGAATTACCAGATGGGGTTGAAACCAAATTGAGCTCTGTTGTTTGTTGTGAATATTTCTAATTTAGTTAATTGATTTAAAAGTATTTCAGTATAATATATTTTATACTTACCTAAATAATATTTTATTAAATAGTTTAAAATTACTTCAAATACAATACAGTTCAATTTAAAAGTGCTTAATGATTGTCCGAGTTAGTACTCATTACTACTATGGATGATATATTGTACAATAGTTAGGAAGAAGATACAAATTTTTTATTAAATAATTAAAAATATCTATTAAATTTGAATATACATTATATTGCATTTGTATACATGTACTATATACCATGCATTAGGTGACGGAACAAATATTTTTTGAAATGTTTTAATTTGAATGTACTTTGTGTTAGACATTAAGAATGTACTGTAGGTATATAATATTAGTTATTAGTTTTAACAGAACTCATTTAAATTATATGTTTAGGAATTGAACAATTACATGTTATACAATCATCCAAAGGATATGGATAACTCGAATGGAATATGGAAATTTCAAGCTGCACGTAGTATTCAGAACATTGGGATTTGTGAACAAGGAAGAAAAATAAATGCACCTAGCTCTCGAAAAATTAAACCTATTCAAAATCCTGCATTAAAATTGAAAACTCCTATTGCATATCAAAGAGATTCAGATCCTAACATGTTACCTATTGAAAAAGAAGGAAGAGGTAATAATATTCTTCGAGTTTATACTATGTTCTATCAATTTGGCTAAAATGCACTTTACCACGCCCCTCACAAATTTCAAAATTTTTTTTTTTTAAACTTGTTTTTCAACTCTGATTTCGAAACTGTTTGATTTTTTTTTGCAAAAAACCATTATTTTCTAAGTTATAGCCATCCAAAGTTTGTGATTTTACGTTTATGCGCATGTAACCCTACTTTAATACTGCTCGGAGGAACTCGTGTTTGGTGGCCGGTGTCACTATAATAAACTAATGTTACAGGTATGGCTTTTTAACAAAATTGTTTAATTCCGAGGCCTCCTCAAGGTGGTTTTACACAACAAATCAAGCTATATTTTCGATTTTTTGTTAAAAATTAAAAAAAAAAATTTTATAACACAATTTTTTTATAAACGTAAAATCTCAAACTTTGGATGGCTATAACTTCCAAAATAATGGTTTCCGAAAAAAATTCAAACAGTTTCAAAATCAGCGTTGAAAAACAAGCCTTTAAAAAAAAAAAATTTTGAAATTCAAGAAGGGCGTGGAGAAGTGCATTTGTTCCATCAATTTATTTACTAACAGTAATATTTCAAATAGTACCCACTTAAATTAGTATCTATAATAGTTTGATAACACTTGATTTAGATTTATAAATTTTGTATTAATCAGATAAAAATAAGAATCATAAATAACTAATGTACCACTAATAGATAGTATTTTGTATTTTCAATAATTTTTAGATTATTAATTTTTTTTTTACAATACAATTTTTGTTTATATTATTATTATATTACATCTTTTGAAAATCAACTAATTAAATATACATATATTTCAAAATCAAAATCAAATGTCACCTTTTACATACTTTTAAAATAAATTGTTTTATTTTTGCTAAAAAAAAAAAACCTAAATAGTAAATATACATAATTATTATATTTTTACAGCTGTTTGTATAAATTGTGGTGCCATTGGTGTTAAACATTCATTTTACACAAAACTAAGAAATTTCTGCAGTCAAGCTTGTGTTAAAGCAACAATGGAAAAGTCTGCAATCTATTGGTCCGGGGAATCTCAAAATAAAAATATTTCTGAAGATCTCGAATCATCTTCTACTTCTGTAACACGATGAACATTGATTTACTGAAAGTGGTATGTTTTGATTAAAAAATGTTTGCATTAGTATCTAAAGAATTTACATTGAATATTAGTTAGAAATAAATGTATTTAAGTCCTTTAATATTTACTAGTACATAAAACACAATATTTATAACATTTTTATTTATTACTCTTTATTACTAGGTATGTTAAAATAAATATTGTTAGGCAGTTTGTTCTATGAGCTATTATAACAACTAAAACGCTTTATTAACACATATTATGCAAAACTAATTTATTGCTTTCTTATTTTTTTTAGCCCAAAATTGATGTCAGTAATTATCTTGTTCCTGCTGAAAATAGTGAAGTTAAAGCCCACCAAAGTATGGAAGATGAATCTGAATCTAATGATTCACTTTCTTTTACTACATATCCTATTGAAGAAGATTTATTGTTTCCTCCTGACAAAAAACCTTGTCGACCAATTCCTCAAACATATGATTGGGTGAAAGATTTGACAAACAAAAATTATGATGTTGTTCCTGTTCAATGTTTCCGTTATGTATGTATTAATATAGTTTATATGTACACATATTATATTGACACAAAATAAATTTGATGAATAGGCTCCTATGGCCGACTGTTGGGATGATATAGCAGTTGGAATTAAAGTTGAAGTTGTAAATACAGATTGTGATAATTTTAGTGAAGAATTTCCTGACTACTATTGGGTTGCTTCTATAGTTAATATTGCAGGTTTGTGTTTTTATGTATATATTATATATGTTACTTTTATTTATAGAAATAAATTATTTTTTTAGGATATAAAGCAAAGTTACGTTATGAGGGGTATGAATCAGAAGAAAGTAGTGATTTTTGGGTAAATTTATGTTCTTGTGTTGTACATCCAGTTGGTTGGTGTGCAACTAGGGGTAAACCATTAATACCTCCTAAGTGTAAGTATTATATTTAATAAATTAAATTGTATATTATTGTTTAATTGACTTAACATTTTTTAGCTATTCAATCAAAACATTGTGATTGGAAAGATTTTTTAGTCAAGCGTTTAACAGGAGCTAGAACATTGCCTACAAATTTTCGTTTAAAAATATTTGAATCTCTGAAGTCAAAATTTCGGTAACACTTTAGTAAATTATTATACATTTTAAACTTATTTAAATATGTTTACTTAATTATATTTTGTTTTGTTTCAGAATTGATTTAAATTTGGAATTAATTGATAAAGAACATATATCAAAAGTTAAGGTAGCCAAAATTCTTAATATAATTGGCAAACGGTTAGAACTAAGGTATTATGATGATGAAGAACAGGGTAAGAACTTATTTTATATACACATATACTCTACTCTCTCTCATACAAGAGTAACCTCTGACGGTAACTGATTTTTGTCTAGTTCAGTAAAATCAAAGCTCTCAATTAAATTGGTTTTGTCAGATTTTGTTTCCGATCAGCTGTAGCCAATAAATTGCTCTATTGTATTAAACTTAATAAAATGCAAGCTATGCGGTTGTTAGAATATTAAATTGAATTTCTTGAGAGTAGAACACTTGGCTCGCTTTATCACATGCACACCCATTGTGAGCTGAACTCCGTTGTCTGGGGTTACACTTATATGAGACAGGTTATAGTAGTTCAGAGAATGTCAGTAGCGCAATATTTGTTTTCTCTCAGACCCATGCTGAAAAATCAACATACATAAAACGCATTCATGTACAATCATTTTTTATGATTTTTAATTAATATCTTGTAATAAATTTATATAGGATAATATTTTTGAGCGTTTGACATATCCGTTTTATTATTTGACTTTAAAACTAAATTTTTTTTAGAAATTTAAATGGTTGTTAAATGCTTTTAAGACATTTATTTAGGCAATTTGATAATAGATAAGAAATACCTTGACAAAATAGATTGGGATTATCACAGTTGTAATAGTTTTTTTCAGTTTCCGCTTCTCTTTCATCTCTGGTCCATGTCGTGGCTCTCGACTTCTGATTGGTTAATTTTTTCGATGTTATATAATTATTATGTATGTATATGATTGAAAATCAATAAGAAGGGGAGTAGTATGATATAGTTGAAATAAAGCAGTGGCGTATTTAGACATTTTTGTAGGGGGCGGATGACAAGAATTTTAGCTTACAGATTACGATGTAATAATTTATTTTAATATAATAATAGACATGTACTTAAAGAGTCAGGGGGTGGATTTGTCTCCATTTCCGCCCCCGTAAATACGCCCCTGAAGTAAAGAGTGGAGGAGGCTTATTAAAAAACTGTGATGATACCCATATATTTGGTCGTGAGTAATACCCTCAAAAATATTATTCTCTATAGTTTTTGTATTGGGTGATTTTACTCTAAAGCACATAAACAAATAAAAGATTTTGAATGAACGTGTGTTTTGTCTATGTTGCGAGTGGTCCAAAGAGAAAAAACAAACACTACATTAACATCCTCTTAATTTAACCTTGAAGAACTAATATATTTATAGTTTAATGCAGTTTTATAAATAAAATATAAACTATGAATTAAAATTGTATGATTTATAGTATTTTGGGTACATGAAGACTCACCATTAATTCATCCAGTTGGTTGGGCTGGTCGAGTAGGTCATAGTTTGTGTGCTCCTGATGAATATTGTGATAGAACATCAAAAGGTTTACGTGATAAAGATGATGCTACAGAAGATCTTTTTCCAATATCAATACCATTTAAGTCAGGATTTCAAGTTGGAATGAAACTGGAAGCAATTGATCCTTTAAACCTTGCATCAATATGTGTTGCAACAATTATGAAAGTAATGATGAAAACATTACTTTGCTTAAAATATAATATCTATTAAGAAAAATGTTTATGTTTTTTATATTCAAGGTGCTGAATGACGGCTATTTAATGATCTCTATTGACTTTTATAATAGTACACCAAAAGATTGGTTTTGTTATCATTGTACATCTGCAAGTATTATGCCAGCTGGATTTTGTAAAGCACATGGTATTAATTTAAACCACCTCAAATTCTATTAACCCTTTTGTATGGAAAGACTATCTAGTAAATTCTAGCAGTATAGCAGCTCCAGAACATCTCTTTGATATGGTATGATTTATACTTATTATATTATTGTAGTTCTATGTAAAATTAATAAATTATTTAATAACATAAATTAACTTAGGTTTGTGGGACAGTCATATAAGTATATAACATAATATGCTTGTTTTAATTATGTATTATCAACTATCAATTACTTTTCAAGTATAGTAGAAAACGCTTAATGCACAACATCAAAAGGACCTCAATCATAATTTTATTACATTTAACCTATAAAACTGTACAAAACACTACACAAAAATATATAGGAAATTCAGCCAGAACTCAAGATGTTGTGCGTGTTAACTGATGACACACTAAACATTTTTACTATATTTAAAATTGTAAAAATACATAACTTACAATATCCTGATTTCGCTACTCTGGCAATCTATATATTAAATTATTTATACCATAAAAACAGAATGGTTGATATCACATGTGTTTACACATGTTTATTGAATTGATAACAACTCTTAAAAAAAATATATATATATAATATGAAATATACTATATAACTAATAATATATAACTTTTTAAATTTTAACTTATATACAAGATAATTGCCTATTAATTATTATAAAGAAATAATGCTTCATATTATGTTAATTAGTAATATACGATTGTGTTAAAACCTATACATTTCAACTAAAAATTTCTTTAGGAAATACCTGATCATGGATTTAAATGCGGTATGAAACTTGAGTGTACTGATTTAATGAATCCTCATTTGATATGTGTGGCAACTGTAGTAAGAACAGCAGGGCGGTTAGTAGAAGTTCATTTTGATGGATGGGAAAATGACTTCAACCAATGGTTGGATTGTTGCTCATCTGATATATTTCCAGTTGGCTGGTGTGAATTAGTTGGTTATAAATTAGAAGGACCTATCACACAAACTGTTCAAGGTAATAATTATAAAATAAACTTAAAATTATTTGACTGAAATTGATTTAATAACATTTTATATTAGAGCATCGACCTAGTAAACATAAAAGAAAAAAATCAAGGAAACATCAACGTTTACCAGCCAAAAAAGTTACTGTACCACCTTTAATAGTTCATACAAAGGTTCCTACTTCTTGTTATACTTCTGTGGACGTAATAATATACGCATTATTATTATGAGACAATACTAATATTATTTTATTTTATTTAGGTTTCTCAGAAATGGACGGCTGACAATAAAATAACTTGTGTTCGAAGTCCAGTTTCAGCAGCAGAACCTTTAGGTCCAGATCAATCTCTACCAGTTGCTAGTGTAAATGTTAGTATATTTTTTAATTTGAATTATTTGGACAAAAATGATTTATATATGTATAAAATATATTTATACTATCTTTGGAACATTGACTAAAATATATTTAGAAACATATTTTTATTTTGAGGAAATATTATATCATAGTTTAAACTTAATATTAATTAACATTTATTTGTTCTAAGAATGCAACAAGTATTAAAGAAGAAGATGAACTAAAACGATCATTTTTGGAAAAAGATACAAATATATGGAGTGAAAAAGATGTATCTGAGTTTTTACTTTTTAATCAGTGTGCTACATACTGTGATGTTTTCTTAAGCCAAGTAATTAGTTTGTTGAAAATGTTTATATTTTATATTTTTTGTTATATTAAAAATTTTGTTTGCAGAATATTGATGGTATACAATTGTTGAATCTCACCAAAGAAGAAATTATACACATGACAGGAAATAAAGTTGGGCCATCACTGAAAATATTTGATCTTATACAAAAATTAAAAAACAAAACTAAAAGAAAAAAATACCTGTGAATTGACCTTATAACTTGCGTTTGTGGTTTTATATGCAAACATAATTTATATTATAATATTTATAATGATAATTGATGATAATAATTATTATTATTACCTATGGTTATTAGATCGAATTAAACTAAATGTTAAATAAATATGTATTTATAGTTAAAATACTAAATAGTCTAGTGAACAAGTGAACACTATTCGACTTAGATTGGTTAAATAGTTTTAATTTGTATTTTAATATAATTAGAAACAATAACAGACTAATAATGGAAATCATTTTTGCTCAACTAGTATTTTTAAATCTGATTGATATAATATTCAATATTATTCATTATTTTTAGAAAATTTAAATTTTTTTACGAACGATTGTAATATTCTAAATTATGTTAAATTATTTATTATAGTATACATGAGAGTTTCATGTTATTAACACCAATATTAGTGTTATTTTACAAATTCTTTACTTATTAGAGACATATGACTAAAGTATTGTTGAGCTTTTAATTTGTTGACTAAAATTAATTAAGAAATTACTTAAATAAAATATTACAAAATAAAACATTACTAGGAATATTTGTAAAATTTTAATACTATTTTTTAAATTTTTTTTTATTAACATTACAATGTGATAAATTCAAACATTTAGTACCGTATCATTATTAGTTTGTGTTTAATATTTATGTTTAATTTTTTTCTGTTTAACTTACATATAATTTTAATATTTATATTGATAATAAACAGCTAATGGCAATCAAGGTGGGAAGGGAGTTTAATGTACCCTTCCCATCACCACTGTGGCCTTTTTTTTTATACTTACTAAGCAATAATTTGTACGCATTATTAGAATTAGATGTTGTTGTAATATTGTAATACAATCACAGTCTATTCAAGTATAGTTTAGTAGTAGTATTGATTTATGACGTCGCTCTTATGATTTTTTGACACTATTGCAATCTGCCAAGATCCGATTACTCATGAAAATAAAAAATTAATTGCCTACGTTAAGACGACGATGATACTTGACTTATTATTTATTATTATATTATTTTAGACATAGTATAATATGTATTAATTATTCACAATAAATGTCGTGCACATGTATAAGAAAATCATACATGAGTCATAATTATTGTTAAAGTGAAAATCGTCATAATTTTTATGTATCTTACATTTGTACCATACATAAATATATTTTTTATTTATTCAGTGGGGTGCAGAAATATTACTAATGGGACCTAGGTGGCCTAGGCTAAGCCCCACTTGAAAATGGTTGGTGATTTGTTGGAAATGTTGATAAGTATTAAAATAAAACTTGTGGTTGAATATAATATTCTCTGAATTAAGATTACCAGTCACCAGACTATGTGTAAATGTGTAATGTGAACGATACTCAGTTAGGTACCTATACTATTAAGTAGGCCCCACATGGGGAAAGTTTTTCACACCACGGGATAAACAATGTAAACTATAATATTATCAGAGTTAATATAGCGGTGAGTAATTCGAGCCATTATTAATAACCATCCCAAAACGGTTATAAATCATAATATTTAATAATGCAATATGCGAGTTTAAAATATCAAGTATTCCTTTAAATCGCCGAAAAACCTTAGTACCGTTCGGACTAGAACCGTCGGTGAATTGATGCGTTACAACTTTATACCAAATACCTATCAAACAAACTTCGACAATATTATATAATTCTATTTTGACGTATCAGGCAAGTTAGGTAGAAAGGAGTGTAGGACAGCCGTCAGGTAAGTATTTATCGAGTACAGCTATAGTTCTCGGACTGCTTGTCCCGTACATCTCAAAAACGGAACGGTCGGCCATACTTATCGTATAATGCTAACATTTTTGGATGTTCCCGAGTACCGAAAGGAATTCGAAAAATTTCCTCATTTCGAGTTGTAACTCGTAATGTCGCGGAATTTGAAAAAAAAATGGAGGGGGGCGTAGTGGCGTACACGTATTATATTCTTTTATCTGTGTATTGTGTATTTGTGTGCTTTTCACGGTCGGCAGAATGATTCACATTTTACGTCTGCACACAGTGTCGCTCCCTGGCGGACGTAAACGGCCCACCGCGATCCTCGGCCAGTCACAGTGCCGTCGCCGAACACCCGTCCGGTCTATCCCCACCACCGCTGACGGGCTGGCCCGCATGTGAGCAGTACCCATGTCGGAAAGGCCGTTTATCAGCTTTTAAGGCCGTTTGGGAGGCCACCGATCGGATGGCCCACGTCGGTGACCGGTACGTCATGCCGTAAGCGAGTCCAAAGGTCGAAGGGCGCGAAAAAAGTCGGGAAAAACATGGTGGCCGCGTGCGCGGCGTACGAATACGCGCACGTCGCTCTGGCGGCGGTATCGGTGCGCGGCGCAGCGCACAGCTGTTTCCCGCCATAACGTAGTTCATTGTGTTGGCGTACGTACGTGCATCGGTTACGCGCGCGCGCCATTTTTTTTTCCTCGTCAGCTCCCCGTTGCCGGGCAAACCGCCTCCGTCGCCGTACGAACGCCCCGCCGACGAAACCGCGCGCAACCCTACGGGATTTTCGCTTCGTCCGCTAGGCGACAATAACCGAGATAATAATATAATAATAATAATTTTTAATATAGTATTATAATATCGACGACCGTGCGATAATAACAGTTCGTGTGCGTGTCGTCGTTTGGAGAGGAAAAAAACAAGGGGGACATCAGTTTGTTCTGACCGTGCGCTACCCCCTCGCCAAAACAAACGCCCGAAAACCACCGCCCGTCCGGTTCGCCATCGTCTCTCGCGCGCCCGACGTCGGTCCAACGTTTCGCACGTATCATGGACACGGCCATAACGATCAGATCGGAAGATCGTTTCGACGATTTGCAGCATTACGACCACGAGGACTTGAACTATTGCAGGTGAGCGGAATTTTCTGTTGTTTTTTTGGGGGGGGTGGGAATGGGCTGAAAGATTTTCGGTACGTTATGCAGACGAACGTCGGTTAGGTTTTCGATTCCTTTTGCATGTGTGTGTGCGTGTGCATAGTTATCTGCCGTGTTTTACACGCCCGTCAGCTGTTGTGTGCGGTATCTTTATCAATGCGCAAAAATAAAAACAAATAATCGATAACAAAATCAGTGTTGTTTATCATTTCCAATCGGCTGCCGACTGTGATGACGATTGACGAGAGTAGTAACTGTTGTTGTGATACGCAATATTGCCGAAAAGTCGGCGATCGACAGTCGACTTCGCGTGGACTGAAATCTTAGTTGGAAATTTTATTATTTCATCGGAGTTATCGTTTTACAGGAGCGTTTTTCCCCAAGTAGGAATTCTCATTTTATTTTCGTGAACAATCCTCCGGTTAGAATGGTTAGATCGTCCCGAACTCCCCGACTACTAAAGCAGCCCGGATCGAGCGCGCGGCAGATGGTCGGTCGCCGGCATCCAGCTGTTGGGCCAGCTGTCCTCCCCTATTGTTGTCGTCGTCGTCCTCACTGCGCGCGCTCTCTTGTGCGCCGGTGTGTGTACTAGTCGCCGCCGGCAACCGGTTTCGGCGGGCACAGCTGTCAAAACGGCGGCGTGCACACCGGTGTCGTGTTATTATAACAATAATAACCACGACGAGATGGTGGTTGAAAGATGTATCTCGTCCGTGGTGTTTGGTCGGTTATTTATTTATTTGGTGTCAGAGGCCGGCCGGCCGGCGACACGGCTATGTAGGCCACGCTCGTTATTATTCTAGGTGGCCCTCGTGGAAGGAAGGCCGCACCGCCCGGCACCGGCCGGCCGGCGAGCGTGGTTTTGTGCGCGGCCGCCGGAGGAGCGGGGCACGGACGGTCGGAGCGATCAAGACCCGCCGCCAGCCAGCCAGCCGTCTGCGGTCGGCAGTGCGCGCGCGCTCGATTTCGCCCGTCCGTCCGTGGGCAGAGCGTCGTCGCCGTCGCCGTCGCTACCCATCCCGTCTGGAGGTCACGGCGTCGCCGAGGCGGCGTACTCGGCCGCAGCCGTCGCCGTTTACAGCTGACGAACGGAGATAATAATGTGTATAGTCCAGGACGGAACGAAACGTGTGATTTCAACGGTTGGTGGGCGGAGGGGGCCAGACGGTGTGATTATTTATGGCTAAGAAAAATAAAAAAAATAAACCGCACAAGGACACGGACACGCGAAAAATAGAAAGAAATAATAAACGAGTCGTCCGCGGGCCACGGCGGTGGTAAGACATTAGAGGTGGAAGAGGGAGGTGCGTGCTGATCGCGCATTCGCGCCGAAACGAGTTCGAAAAAAATCAAACTGATTATAAAACGACCATAAACATGACGTCATCCTGTGTCCACCTACCTATCTTACTTTTATTGCGATTGCGTCTGTTTTAGGTTATGTACTACATACCAGTATATTATAATGTGATGTTCCCGCAACCCAGATTTCGGTCTTAAAAATATCCTCTTAATCACCCTTGCTTGGTCACTGACGTGCGATAAGGTTGAGTTTCTTGCTCGTATTCCGTTAAACGTTGACTGCTGAAAAGTTACACATGTTCAGATGTCAATTAGTAGTGTAGTTTTTTTTCCACACGTAGTTAAAAACATTCGTTTCCACCAGGTTGCATGTTGTTCTGTGTGTGATATACTTACGTATATACTGTCAATGTACTCTCGAATATACACCGTTCTGAGTCTAGAGTTTTACATGGCAACTAAAAAAAAATCAATTTCATATTTGTAATACGTTTTTACAATGACCACCAGGGTTATGGTACCTTCATATTTTTACCTGTAGAAAATGCAATGATAAATGCTTAAAAAAAATATTTGTAAACTATATGCGTTGTTCAATTGTACATTTTACGAACTAAACCTACCTGCGTTGTGTATGAATACCGAATTACTATCAAATTTCGTGCTTACTATATTCACAATTGGACTTAGAAATTAGTTAGAACTATTATAGTATGTATAAATGTATAATTCCATAATATAGGTACCTAACCTTATGAGTTTTCTGTTTAAAATAAATACGAATTTTAATGCACTATACTTATTTTTCTCTATTAAGCCAAATAACTGATTGAAAGAAAATTCCAGTTGAGTTCCATTGTTGTTTACAAAACACAATTTTGCATAAACTGAAAAGTGTCAATGGAAAATCGGGAAACAGGTGTTCTAGAGAAGTACATTTTTAACGAATAACCTGAATAATTTATAAAAGCTTATAGTTTCAAATTCATTGTCTTTTTTTTTGTGAATGAAAACTGATGCGTTCTATTTTTAAATTTGTTGTTTTTGAGATAATTTTACTGTTTGGTAGTCACATGTTATTTTTAGCGAGTGATATTAAAAATTGGAAATATTACGCAACTAAATAATTCCGTGATATTTACGTATTTACTTCCCAGTTCTTTTGAAAATTTAAATTATTGTTTTACAAAGCGTATGTTCTTATATTATGGACTTATGTTTTGAATAATAATCGAATCGGTAGGCAGTAGAGTATGGAATAAGTACCAGAATCGATAATTTCTTTTCGTTTAACCCCATTTCTTGGTTCCAAAGTTAAAAAAAAAATGTGGCGAATACAGTACTAATGTATATTACAGAGTTTGTAGGGTAACAGACTAACACCGTGTACTCGTTTATATAACTCAGAATATAACCCCTCCGTTTTTTAATGTTCCTCTATATCGCTCTGACATTTTATTGTGTTACGATGAAAAGGAAATACCCTCGGAAATACCTAACATAATAAAAGCACTTACGAAAAAAATACAAAATGATTGATGTACTGTACTAATCACTGCTGTCGCCCTGTTGGCTGTACAATTTGCTTTGGTATTTTTTGATTTGTTCGGTGTTTGGTTAAGTCAATACCAATTATTTACAGATAAAATGTAGAAGATGCTGTGAAATCACGGAGTGAAAGAATTTATTTGGAAACTTATAATATAAATCGTAATATAATAACCAATAAGTAGGTATATCAGTGGGCTTTTTTAAATTGCGTAGTCACCGGTATGGTACCTACAATTTCGATTCTCCGAGGAATACCAATCGATAATAATTATAAACGGTGTAGTACCTACAGGTTTTCCTGTCAAAATGCCCTCTACCTCTTTGATTTCTTCGCGTTTTTTTTTTGGCCTAATGCTTATCCTACACATGCAATATTAATTCCTCGGTTAATTTTATCCAAACACTAGAAATGTTGGAATAGTTCTGGTTGGACAGATCATCTCTTGTCACAGGTTCATAATAAAAAAACACTATAGTTGAGAGAATGAAAAGAGTTTCACAAAATAAAGCGGGCTCAATTTGAAATATTAGGTAATTATATAATTACCTATTAAAAAAAAATAATACAAATGTATTAGAATGACGTTGTATACGAGTTTTAGTACCCCTGTTTTCGAAGAAAAAAAAGGTTTTTATTAAATTTTATCATATCGCAAGCGGCCCCCTTTCATTCTTCCGGCTTTAAAAAATGCCATTCCACCAAATTAAGAAAAACCTCGTGTTGTGAAATAATATGAGACTGTATAGACGGTAATAATTAATATGTGGAGAAGGTTAGCATCCCCTAAGTTATTTCAAGTTTTATATAATATTATTATGTTTACGTATATTCTTAAATTTAGTTGTAATTATTCTATTAAATATACGAATTTACTATTATGAGAGTACATATAACATTTACAGTATAATTATATTTTATTGTGTGTACATGGTGGGGGTGTGGTTAAAACTTCACCCTCTGTTTTTACTCTAGAACCTTTTAGACTCAAGCATTTTGTATTTTTTTATCCTATTGACTTTTATATTGGAAGGTGTCAAAATTAGATTGCCAGGTGTTGTTAAGTTTACAGCGGTAATCGGTCACTTTGTACTGTCCATTGTTTAAAATGCAAAACGCGGAAACTTTGTACGGTCCGCTACAAATGTAGATTTCAGAATGCGGACAATTGGTTCTATTATATTTATATAGTACACCTCTTAAATATAATATATTATAATATTAACAAGTCATGACAAATTATAATAAAAATGTTTTAATATATGAAATTGTCTTCTAATAATATAATGTTTGGAAAAATATTATCTAAAAATGTATAAAGTATAAAAAGTATCAAAAATGCTCATAACATAAACTATATACTGGGCTATATACTATGGTCAATATTTAGCTCAGTTGGTATACGTATCAGATATTATTCATATAATTTTCCCTGATTTCAGACCTGATCATATAAGGTATGCTTTTATAGTTATATATATATATATATGGACTAGTACAAAGTTTCCGCATTTCAGATTTTTAATGTTCGACCATACAAAGGGACCTAGAACCGTGTACAACACCCTCGATTCACCACATGTAATTAAGTTTTCTTTACACCTGTCGTCTTATTTAAGTTTGATAATTATTGTTGTCAGCAATAGTACCTACTATTTCCGGTAAATTATCGTTATTGGATATCCATGGGATTATTTTCGCAGTTGAACTATAAATCACTTACACTGTAATCCCTCTCCTCTTATACCGTTTCAACAATTATAATATTAAATTTTGTTTTTGCGTCTAGTTTGACAAACGCGTCTGAGGAAGGAGTGGATTCGCCTCCAACAGGACTTACACCCATCGTGGTAGGCCACAGGACACCCCAGATGAGCGTCACCATGGAGCACGAGAAACGGATGCGCCGGGAGATAGCCAACTCCAACGAAAGACGACGAATGCAGTCGATAAACGCGGGTTTCCAGAACCTGCGAACGCTCATACCGCATCACGAGGGCGAAAAACTCAGCAAGGTGAAAAATTAATAATTAAATATTATGCTTAAAAATTTACGATCTTTTTTTTTACTTTTAAAATATTGATAATTATTTTACAACAAGCGCAAGTGGAGATTAAATAATGTATTATATTTATATAATATAATATATAGACGACAGACGTATATAAAACATAATTATGTGTGTGTGACGTGTGTCCGTTTAAACGTTATTATTTGGCGGCGACGATGGTTTTTTTTGTTTTCAGCGGTCGGAAAACGCCGCATCTCGTCGTCTCTTTTCTGTCGTTCTGATTATTATTATTATATTTTTACGTTTGCGTCGTCCTTGTCGATGTGTGTACACATAATAATATTATACGCTCAACGATTTCATTCATCGAGCCCATCATCGGCGGCGGCGGCTCGAGTACAATAATATTACTCAGCACACACACACCCACACGCCCGCTACAAGTACGTAACTCTGTACTAGGCTATATTATGTGTGTGTGTGTGTGTCGACGTCGGTGGTACGCGAGACTCGTGGGGCCACGATATGGGTGCCGCTGCAACGGGCAGTCAGCTACTCAGCTGTTTATCTTTTGGATTATTACAGGGTGTGTGTGTGTTGTGTGTGTGCGCGCGCGCGTGTGCGTGTCTCGTCGCCCCGTCCGACGGACCACCGTCAATCGGAGGGGTTCCCACTCTTATTTTCTCGACGTAACGCCGTTTCGAACTACGACTATTATAATATCGTACGTCGTCGTACGTACGCAAAGACCGCCGCTGCACACACGCCGTTCAGACCACAGCTGCTGATGAATGCGGCGGTTATAGAATTATAACCACTCCTCCCTACCTCACTCCCGCCACCACCGTCATCGCCACCGGTGTGAACATAAGCTCACGAACCACTGTTGCCAACTTCTAATAATATTATGATATAACATAAAAAAAAATATAGTTGTAATAATAGAATGAATAAAAAACCCACTTCGAACGGATCTACAAACGCCTTAGACGTTTTGTAAATCGTGACGGTCGCCAGAGCCATGCGGATAGAATGTTAAGACGTAAATAATAATAATATTATTTCCATTTTCCTCCCGCGTTTGGGTCACGACGGTTGCTACAACTCTGCGAGCACAGATCGTCGTCGTCTCGGGTACCTGCGGCGGTGTCGGTTGGTGGTTCAACGCACTCATTGTCCTTCACGCTTGTAGTTTCTCGGAACTGACTTGTTCTTCAGTTCTCCACTACGTTTTCGTCCGCCGTGGTGCATCCATTATTATCAACGCCCCCCACCCCACGCAATCGCCCGACGCAATGCATAATAATTACAAAGTATTTACAACAGTACACCGTTGAGTCGATCGTGCATGCGTGAAGTTTCGTTGTATATTTATTTTAATAATATAACATATTAATAATAATAATATAATTTACAATGTGAGAGTGGTTAAACGTTTTACCTGCGTCTGCTGGCATTGTTTCTAAAAATAGACGACACGTAGGAAAATATAATAATATACACGACTGTCTATTCCTGGGGAACATAATTAAATAATAATATATTACAATCGTTGCTGCTAGTCGTGTACATCAACTGACCTACGGCATCCGGTGACGTGTTCTATGTTTTTATTTAAAGTGTCTGTAACCCGTTTTATGGTCAGTGATCAATTTGTTGGTTAAAAAAAAAAGTAATAATAAACAAACGGACAGAAACAAGTAACAACTTCTATTTCGAAGCAGCGTCTCCGTCCCCCGGGTTCGTGGCACATCGGTGAAGACGTGGAGCTCGCGGGGTGCCCTTTCGGCGGCATTGCTAGATGCCCCACGCCCCGCGACGCTATCGATCCCGTCGCACGGGTGCTGACGTCAGCCGACTGTACGCTTGCGCCCGTATGTGACGTCAGCGTGGTTACTACCACCACCCCTACATGATGTTTTTCGGCGGGTGTATCGACCTCGTGCTCTCCGTTTTCCGAAACGTTTTTTCGAAAAATTGTGAAACTCGCCCTTCACCCTCCCACCACAGATTTATGGTGCTCCGTTTGGTTACCGTGGTAACGCGTCTCCAATTTCTTCATTTACGCTAAAAACTCCGATGTTCGCGCTCTTCACATTTTAATGAACGGTTAAAATCGTCGCGCACACTACTACTACTACTACTACTGCTACTACTACTACTACTACTACTACTACTACTACTACTACTACTACTGCTACTACTACTACTACTACTACTACTACTACTACTACTATTACTACTACTACTACTACTACTACTACTACTACTATTACTACTACTATTACTACTATTACGACTACTATTACTACTACTAATAATAATATTATCATTATACTAATACAATAGTTCGCCCGTTTACCATTTCTAAAATAACCGTAGTGCATAGCGTGTTTACTGTTTATAAATATATTGTTTTTCCGTATGATAACGGTGCCCGGAGATTTTGATATTATGTGTGTAGAATGCGTTCTCGGAACGCATTCCTCAGCTGACTGGTTTCCACGTCGTGTCGCGTTTCGATATGTTTTCGCTGCGTGTTGTACGTACGTGTACCTATAGATAATAATGCGTACCATGCGTTACCTATACGCATTTACCGGGGGGCACACGGCTGAGAGAAAGTTGAGCGCGGGAATTGACCGACAGGAAATGACTCAGACGCGCGAGATAGATTTTCATTCAACGCATTGCCGCATATGGATAACCAGGCCTCGGGTCAACCGGCAACTATAATACACACATACCGTCTATAATAGTATTATATAGTATTATACGCGCGCATTCCATTGGATGCGGCGGTGTCGGTTCATATACTATAATATTGTTATGTTTGTATAACGTATTATTGCGCATGCGCCCATGTGACATGTATTTACGACCATCGCCGCGTGTATGACGTGTACTACGTGTACGCTACGCTCGTCCGTCGCGTGTGTAGTACTTACTACAAATATTTTAGTATGATAATAAATTATAATAATAACGTACGGGGCCGGTGCGAGGAATCCAAAATTGCGATATCATGCTTTTTACTGTTGACTCTTGGATCGTTGAACTCTATAGGGTCGAGGTTCCTTTTATAATTGCATTATTATATTCGTTTTCGGGGCTCGTCTAATTTGAAAATTTAATTTTTAATGTCTGGTGGCATATAAGAAGGGGGAGGGAGATACTGCGTTATATGTATATAATATGGTCGAAATGGGGTACATAATTGATTTTTGAAAACCCTTCAGTTCAGTCGGTATTTTTACGACTATGCCATCCAAATATTCATTTAATATCATGCTTAAGATGCCCAAAGTATTTATGTACTTAAGTAGTTGGTACTTTATACGCAAACGTTAATAATATGACAATTCATTTTTTTTAAACCCTCGTTGTTAAGCTTTTTAACACAGTTTTTAGAATATAAACATATTATGAAATATTGTTTAGGAAGAAAAACGTAGAAAAGTTAATATAACTTTTAAGTTAGAATTTGTAAAGCATATATATATCTATAGTTCGGACATTGAATGTCGTTCTTTACAAATTGTAAGTACCTAGTTAATAATAATAAATATTTGAATACACCACTCACATTAAATCGTATATTTTCTTTTGGGAGATAGACCTCAACCATAATACTTGTTAACAACAACAGTTAAGGTATTATATTATAGTGTATGTCTGATTGTCAATGTATTATTGATAATTAGTAAAGGGTTTGGATTTAGAATCAAATGTTCTCATCTTTGTTAGAACTATAATTCGTACATAAATAAATTTTTGTTACTATTATTTTAGTATTTTCATAAATGCACTATTTTGCTTTTTGATGTCTGGTATTTTTTTCAACATAAGTATTTTGTTTTTTTGAGGTAGGCATACCTACTTAGACTCCAGCTTATTAGAATATGGTACCTAAATTTATTTTACATTTGTTAAATAATTATTACGGTCGACAATTGGGTACTGTTATGAAAACAAAAATAAATATATACCTGATAAATTGTTATGATGACAATCGTAATACGACCCTCTTATTTATGGATATTACCTTTAACACCTAACCTTATTTGGTACATAATGTTTATGCAATTTTAACCATTACGCTAGGGTTAAAGCTACGCCGTCTGTCGTGTCGAGTTGAGTTTGGTACAATGCTGAAAATTTCCCGGTATATCCAGGGTTAAAGTGAGGGGAGACGCAGGGGGACTCAGCCCCCCTAACTCGGACGGCGGTTAAAAAGCGTCCCCTCTAACAAATTAGGGTTTTATAAAATTTTTTTTATGTACGGAACGCTTAAGTCTATATGGATACATTAGTCCCCTCTGGGATTTTTTCCCACTTTAAGCCCTGGGTATATCATGGTTGGGGAAAGAAATTATGATTATAATAATTTATGTATCAGGATTCAGAATACAATAAAAATATCCGGACACCACAGATGACGTAGCTGTGAAACTAGCTGTATGCCTGTATAGAATATTTAAACTAATGTTGAAAAATAATTTTATCATAAACAATAATGTATTATAAACGTATTACAAATGAGTAATAGACACAAATTTAAAAAGATTTTTTTACTACAATTCGTTTATGTTGTAATTCTACTCTATGAAACCCTAAAATATTATTTCACGGAGTTCAAGTGTCTTATTACCTTTTTTTAAACTTTTATGTTTTAATGTAAACTGAGAGTCGAGAGAGTACTTGGTATATATCTAGACATAAATATACTTAAAATAAAATACAAAATATTCTAATGAATATTGTTAATCTTATGAAGATAACTTGCATATGCACAAACTACCATATTTGTTTTATGAATTATTCGTCAGACTTTCGCCATACAATTTTTATCGAGAATTATAATAATATATATATTCATTAGTTCCTGGTTTTTCTAAATGTTTCATTTTTTTAAATCTAAAATTTATCTTGTGATTTTGTTGTATTGTGTTCCAGTGGCGTAATTATGGGGGGGGGATTTGGGTGTCGTATCCCCCCCCTTG